GGCCTAGTTTTATTATCACCAGTCCATGGGATAAAAAATCCCTTTTGCCGCCCAGGGCGAAGATTGTCATTGCGGCTTATACGTGGCTTGTTCTTCATTATGTACACACGACTGACTGTGGGTACGACACCCGCTCCGCCAGCAAGCGACGTCCACTGTTTCATCTTCAACGAAAAGTGACAAGAGACAGAGACAAAGCAATCTAGAGTAAGCATTTCCGGGTAGTTAGCCGTCGTCAACTAGCCATATGTCAACATGAGTTCTCCACACGAGTATTCCATATCAAAAAGGTTATCCGCCTATATATCAGTCAGGATGGATCTGTGAGAATCACTCTCCTGTGACCTCGCGTGCAACTACATGTTGCGTCAGGTTCTGCCTGTGATGATCATTCTGTTATTTTCTTATCCCACAGACTGCGCGAAGCTTCTGAACCTCAACGGACGGCTGGTGAAGAACGCGCACCAGGCAAATTGCATTTCTTTCGATGGCCTGAAAATCGATTCGGTTGGTAAGTGTTACTGCAACTGACTGAGTCACTGTGTTTGCGATTATGTTTACCCTCCCGTTATTAGTAGGTTGGACGCTTTATGATTACTGTTAACCAAGCGCTCTCTTTGTGCTCCCTTTGTAGTGGGCCTGCGTGACAGTCTCCTCGTCTTTCACCCTCATGGCTTTCTGGGCAAGAGTTTCGCCGCTGAGGTGAGTCAGTTTGCTCTGTGTGTATTATTGTGTTGAAATAGTCATTGTTGCAGGTTGTCTTGTATAAGAAGGGCACGTCCCAACTTCTGACTGGCCAGTCCGTACTTCCTTCTGTGCTATAGTTGTGATCACACCTGAGTTAGATGATCTCATTAATACCTCTTATAGAGTTAGGCGATCTGCGGCAGCGCATCTGAGAACTTTGGCTCACAGCCCCCCTCCCCCTCCACCCACGGCGATGGGATATCGTAGACCTGTATATGTTGTGGAGTGGCAGTGCTCCACCTGGCTTTCGAGTGACAGAATGTCATGTTCACAGAGTGATCTTTCCTTGATAATTGACAAATCACATCGGTTCTAAAGGCATGTTAGGCGTCCTCCCAAATCCTCCTTTGGACGGTATCTACTGGGGTAAAGGGACGGGGAGGGGGTAAAACTGCTACTCTTAATTTTTTAATTAATAACAGCGTCCTCTAGTGATATTCAAAAGTCTGTCAGTCTTTTTGATAAAACTCATACCCCAATCATCATGGTAGTTTTGGTCATCAAAAAGCGATAAGTTTAAGAGGATGTGAGGTAGATGCCTCGAAAGCCTGCTCCACTATAAACAGATTCACGTTTATCCCAGGAGGAGGAGAGGGGGCAGCGCTGGACCGCGTCGTTTGCGACTTTGGGCTATTGTGGTGCCTTTGTTGAAGATTTTCCGCCCTCAGCGACAAGTATCACCCTTTGTCGTCTAGTCTTAAATTAAGTATCATCACACCACACTTATAAAACAAGGACCTTCTATTGCTGTGCTTTTCAGCTGAAGGACACTTTTCATTTATCAGTAGCCGACTTGAAAGATTTCGTTTTAGGCAAAAGCTCTTCGGTTTTATTCCTAGCCTTAGCCAGACTCCGTTGAAAAACGGTCTTCTGAATTTGCGTAACAGACAGACGATTTTTTTCTCGTCTCGTCGGCTTTTTGATTTATCTCCCTGCCTTCCTCCACGACAGGGTGAGGACTATTGTGAATGGGCCCGGGGCCAGTAATCGGTAGGGCCATTTTTGCGGTTAGTGCACACGTGATCTGAAGCGTGACCTTTCACGCAACCAGTGCTCACTGAGGAGATTTCGGTTCTCACATAGTGACCGAATTAAGAGACAGGCATTGAAGTCGGTTCCCTTGTCTTGAGTAGGACCGGGCTATCTCGCCAGTTAGAAACCTTCCAAGGCCTGGTTATTGGCTACTCAAATGATTAATGATGCCAAAAAACAGCTTCTGGTCGGAAAGCAGGTCAGCCTCCCCGTGTGCTTTGCCGGTAACGAGTTTGGATACCCAAAAGCAGCCGGCTCAGTTGCCTTCTTTTCCCACATCATAGTTATGCATAAAAAGACCAGAACCGGATATAATTAAGAATGTACTGTGAATATTGGATGATAGCGAAGTCTGCTGTGTATTGAATATTAGATTGTGACACCTTTATGCGTTTAGATTGCGGAAGAAAGTACGTCCTTCAGTCGCAGTTTTCTTCATTCAGCCAGAATGGTTAATTCCCCCCGAACAGGACAGCCAAGTAGGAACACATCCCTGTTGTCGGGTGGAATTGTGCTAAATTTCTGGACGAGTAATCTTTCCTATGCTCTAGTCCTAACAGCAACCCAAATCGTAACCGTAATCCTACACTCAACCCTGTCCCTTACTTGTCAGTACAAGTTGCTTGAGTCCTGCTTCATAGACCCCTGGTCTACGAACAAATGCAACAACCCGCCGGACCCATACTCGGTACTCGTAATCCTACCCTCAACCCCGTCCGTAACTTGTCAGTACAAGTTGCTTAGGTCCTGCTTCATAGACCCTGGTCTACGAACGAGTGCAATGACCCGCCCAACCCTTACTCGGTACTGAGGCTCAGTTTGGCCAAAGCAATTGGCCATTCGGGGAACACACAAGCGAACGCATCTTTCAATACATACACCAGGGAGCCAGATGGCCGAGCAATCATCATACCTAAATCCAGCACGGGTGATGCAAATTCAGCCGGTCACGACCCGCAAACC